ACGTACCTGAAAGCTGATGTTCAATATTAAATTAGGTTTCAAAGACGTGACTGCAGAGGATAAAGTGAGCTTTGAGTGTTTGCTTAGCTTAACTGAAGCCATACTTTAAAGAGACACGGCTGTGTGTTCAATGGCAGCGCGGTGAAATTGAAGTAAATTAAACAACGCTTTGTGCAGATCTTAATGCCACAAATGGATTGTTCTACACTTCCCCCTTTGACTAGAGCATGTGGAAAATAATGTTCACGATAACACACCAGCTTCCAAATCACAAGTCCCACCCCCCTCCTCCATTCAGCCAGCCAGCCCTATTCATGCCTCACATTCATTTAGACCACTAAATAACTCTTAGGCACCTTTGATTTTTAATAACACACCACCTCTAGGCTCAGGAATGTGTAAGATCTGTAAAGACAAAGGTGTGGTACCAAACAGAGGGCGGCTGCCGCTGAGACGCTCACTGACAAAAGACAGTCAATGAGCGATTTGGTAATCATAAATTCTGCTAATGAACTCTGAGGTGATGATTTAAAAGGGAAAGTCCGCTGGAAAGTCAAAATTCTCCTTATGATCTCAACTTTTTTTTAAGCTTTCTGCTCTTTTCAGTATGCAGTGTGGCGCAGTCCCCCCCTAACCACAGCGGCTCTCCGGGAGACGATACGCCCACCGCTTAATAGAGCTCATACGCCCATTTACATACGGGATCTGCAGAAAGCATTAGCCTGTGCATCGCCAGTGTTCCTCGAGCTCAAATGAAGGAGGCAGATGTGAAATAAGGGAGCGCACAAATCATTCAGTCTCGCTGGAGCCGTGGAGACAAACAGACATGAGACGGCTAATTTAAACAGAAATCCAATAATCAGGGTAATAGAGGCGTGGAGAGCTGTTGTAATACCACCTGTTGTTGGGAGATTTGGCTCGATGCTGATGAAGCTGGAAACGTTCCTCACTGCTGTATGAGGATGAGTTTACCTTATAATCACCTGTCTGCAGTGATATTGATTGGATTTGCCAGTTAATTTACTTTCTCTGCAGTTAAATGCTTTTTTTGGCCTTAATTATAGTTTAAAAAAAATAAATTCAGGTTGGGGGAAATGGTATTTTTCCACTTACCCAACCAGACTCTGGGTAAGTGGAAAATTACATTAGGCAATTTTATTCACTGCGTAAATGTAGTGTACCTTTTTTTTTTTTTTTTTTGGTAAAGTTGGGACTCTTATTTCAATTGCTGTATCATGAAAAGTTGTGTTATAATTGTGTTCCCATGGAGGTATGTAGAGAAGAACTTATGAAAGATAAACAAGAAAGTGCAAAAAATAAAGGTTTAACTTATGTAAAAAGTGGACGTCAATGAAACAGCAAGTCTGAAAAATAAGAAATTACACCATTTCCACTATAATAATTCGCTTCCTTGACAAACATATATCCTCAGTCCACCCTACTGTTGCTCTTTAGACACTTACAAAGAGAGATTTGAAATTTTATTATCAAATTCTGTTTATAATTTCTTATAAGTAGTGTTACAAAAGTTACAGACTAGTTCAGTCAGAGCTGCCGTTTCAGTTTGCCCAACTTCAGAAGTATATTTTTGATCCTGTAAACAGCTGGGAGAAACAAACAAGGGATCAAATTTCCACTGAAGTGGACGATCCTTCGTGCCAGGGCTATAAAAATGTAATTTATGTACACTGTGAATGGCATACTCTTTTTATTGCTTGTTTCCTGTTTGAGGCAACATGTGAAATGGATAAAACTGTGTGTTTTATGAGTCAGTGTCAAACCGACCAGCGGTGGTGGAAGGTAACGAAGTACATTTACTCGAGTATTGTAGTTAAGTAAAATTTAATCATGTATAATATAATTTTATGTTACTTTATACTTCCACTCTGCTGCATTTCAGAGGGAGTTATTGTACAGGGATTAAACAGGGATTTTTTTCCCCTCTAAACTTCTGACATGATTTAATTTCAATAAATGTTCAAATGATCTAATTTCTCACCAAAAATCCGATATTAGAGAGAAAGATCAAAAGCTGAAAACAGATTTGTGTTTCTGTCTTCTTTCCTCTTCCATTAATCATCCGAGGACCCTCAGATTCATCTGCTGTCTCTGTATCTAAACTGTATATAAAGTGGTTCAAATGACTCCACCTGCAGCAGCTACAGCAGTAAAATGCTGCTGACACACTGATGCTTCAGAAATAACGATCTCTTGACGTCATGTGTAATAATATATCAGTCAGAGGGACCAAATCAGCACTTTTACTTTGATTCTTTAACCACATTTTGCTGCTGGTTCTCTTGTACTTTCACTTAAGTAGGATTTTCCATGCTTTATTTTACTTGTAATGTAGTGTTTTTACATATCTGCATATAAACCACATTGAGCTCCATTTTACAGTGTTAAAAATCTATTATTTCTATGATCAGCACTGTACAGTATAGCATCACACTGACCTAATTTCACAACGTCAAAAGGTCCCATTCACAGGACCCCCAGCGCCGTCTCCACCCATGAAATATAACCCTGATCTGAAATATGATTTCCCTCCTGTCCTTTGTGTTCATTATGTAGCTCAGGCTACATCAGAGCGCCTGGCCTCACTCAGACACCTTCCCAGCCAGATGGGGCCTCCGTCCAGACTTTGCCTACAATATGTCATCTCCCCCCGTCTCTGTGGGTTCACATTGTGTAATAATGCTTGGAAGGAGTTTCTTCTGCTTTCTTTCTATGTCTGCGATCTCAATTTTCAACCCACGCATCTTTCCCAGTTTCCTCTCATTCTAAATCCAGGACTGAGGCAAAATCCGAACCATGGAAACTGGAGCTCTCATGTCAGACGAGTCTGTCTTCAGTCTCGCCGTCTTCGTCCTACCGTGCCCGCCGAGCCTTCCAGCTTCAGTGTGTCGCTGCCTGCACCTCGTCCTGGCGGTTAAAGACCACTGTCACACGGTGGAAGGCAGCGTCTGAAATATCCGTGATGCCTTAGATTTAAAATATTCTACCCACTACGGGTGTTTCATTGAGGTTCTTTCATTTTTCTGCCAGACTTTCACTATGTGAGGATGTCCCTGCTGTGTTTAAAGTGATCTAGTCCCTTAATTACGCTGCAGCCCAGACTCCCTGGCAGTCCGCACCTAATTACTTCCATGTGCACACACTTGGCTCAGCGGCAGAAAGAGGCCTCTTCTCCTCTCCTCTCCTCTCCTCTCCTCTCTTACAGTACCGATTGTAATTCTGTGTATTTTTGCAGCAAAGCTAGTTGTATTTGCAGTAGTAGCAACAGAGGCAGGCGTAGTAATTCAAGTTTTTATGTCTGCAGTGAATGCTGTGTTTTAATATTTTGAGGGATTAAGCAGAGTTGATGTCGGACGGATGATAGACTGATGGATGCGTTGCAGGTGGAATAACTGGGAAGAAACCAGGGAGAAATAAAAAGGGAATTGCAATAAATGTCTAAAAGTTTGGATCTTTTTGTTAAAGTGGGGAGGATGTGGAGAGAACTTACTGGATAAAGTACATTTAGGAAAACAATGGAGCTGAAGAATGACACTAAAACGTACTACAAACACTAAATGTGAGCACCTGGTCATTTATAGTCTTGTTTATGTCCTTTTTGACCGACTACAGCGATGGAAAGATGGATTGTCGCTGTCAGTTAACTTTCCTGTTGTTTTCTTGAATATTTGCTAACTGCTTCTTTTTGATCAACCAGCAGTCTAAAACCCAATGATACTGAATTACCAATCACACAGGAATGAAAAAACCTAAAATAATCACATGTGAGGAGGTGGAACTGGTACATTTTTGGCATTTTTGCTTAAAGGAATAGTTTCAAATTTGAAAATTTTGTTTCTGGCAGATACTTTGAATCCATGTTTACCCTAAAATGACAAAAATAATACAATTCCTGTAATTAAATACTAATTACTTTGGCTTGAATTTGTTTTATACATGCAAAAAGTGTAGAAGCAAGCATCGGTTTCTTGACCACAAACTTCCACAAGTCGCCTCGCAGCTGCTCAGTTACTTATCAAAATAGCTGCTGATTAATTAGGTATCACTCAGTTAACTCACTCTGTTTTTGTTGTGGGGTTTATGATGCTGAGTTCAGGTGTTTGGCTGCTGTGATGAAATAAGTTTTTGTAGAAACCATGTGCTTCTACTTAATTACATGTACATGCAGCGTAAGGCGTTGAAACATGTTTTTGGTGTTGACACTCAGGCATATTGGCTCAGACTTTTAGATGTTATCCAGCCATCAAATGTATAAAAGGTGCTGAAGTGACGTGACCTTCCTGCATGAACTGTAGTTGTTGCTTTATTAGCTGTCGCACTACAAGTAACATTGTTCGGCCTAATCTCTCTGGCTTCATCTCTGCTTGTTTTTTCTGCTCTCTATCTCTTTCCTCTGATTGTTCTGCTGCTGGACAGAACACAATGGGAGAGCCAATAAAGCTGCAGTGAATACTGTATATGCCATGAACCTCTCTCCAGCCAGCAGCTTTCCCACAGATTTCAAAATCTTTCCCATATGCCAGAATGAAGCTGTTACACAGATCAATGACTTTACCTGCTTTCCTGCTAAACCGCCTGGCCGCGGCCGCCCGTCAGTCCGTCAGGCTCATGTGATTTTTACAGTGGTCCAGTTCAAAGTGAATATTTTACGTGGCCCTGGTTATGCCACAAGATTTCTCTGCCTGCCATATTTATGTTATATAACACTAAATCCTCAGGCTGTTCACGTGATCTAATAAAAGTCAATCTCTCTCTGAACTCAATAGATCTTAAATCACAATATGAATAAATATTGATGGATTTAAAAACATGCTTCCATCTGTCCCTTTGTTTTACTACATTCTTGCACCAGTGATGTTAGTAATTTCTTCCTGCCCTCTGATGTGATTCATATCTATGAACCTGTGGGAGTCTCTGCACATCTCAGCATAACAAATTCCTTCCTGGTCTCTTTCTCTCTCTCTCTCTCTCTCTCTTTGCAGTTGTGTGTCCCCTGACATGTATGAATGGAGGAGTATGCAGCTCAAGGAAGCACTGCCTGTGCCCTCCGGGCTTCACCGGTCGGCTCTGCCAGTTTCCACTCCAGCAGATGCGGCAAGCTCAGGCAGCGCGAGGCAACAAGCAGCCTGTGTACCCCGTACCTTTGAAGCCAGACGGCCAGAAATTCGTGGAGCATTCAGGCATTGGGAGGACGCAGTTGACGCAAACACACTCAGTTTTCACCCTGCCTTTGTCACAAGTTGGGCACCACTCATCAGAAGGTATCTAGAGTTGGCTTCAGCACTTTTCTCTTTGATTTGTGATCTGTTTAAAGCGTCTGATATCTACCTTTTCTCTGTTTTCAGTGCAGATTAACGTACGTGTCCACCACACGCCGGACACTTCCGTAGTCATTCAACCTCTGGACACGTCAGATATCAAACCTCCCCACAAGACGGGGCCTCGTCTGATCCCATCCAGACACAAACCAAAGGGGCGCTGCTTCCAGGAGACGACGCCCAAACAAGCCGTGAGTTCAGTCACGAGTCGAGGTGATTATTATTATTATTAAACTCTAAAATGATTTTCACTAATAATGTTTCTCCATGTTTTTAGTGCAACAGCACCCCGCTACCCGTTCTGACCAATCAGGAGGATTGCTGTGGCAGCGTGGGGAATTCGTGGGGACAGAACAAGTGTTATCAGTGCCCCAAACTACCAAGTGAGTTACACTGAACTTCAAGCATTCCCTTTTAATTACTTGTCTAGTTTAGATGCTAGTTCAGACATTTGTTCGACAGCATCTAGCATTTATATACGTGCCAAAAACAGCGTTCCGTGGTAGATTTTTATGCAATCAACATCTTGTGTGTTCCCTGCGAATAAATTACTGTTTATTGAGCCAAAAATGTCAAGCATTCCCACCAATTTGTACCTTCCATCTTATGAAATTATGGCCCTGGATTAAAACAATCACTTCGTACCTCTATAAAAAAAAAAAAAAGTGTTTGAATGTGTACATGAAAGTTAGTGGTAAGGTGGGGTAGGGAGTGTGTGAAATGTTTGGAAGGAAAAAAACGGAAGAAATTACGGGAATTACACACAGACAGTGAGACAGAAAAAGAGAATGTGGAAAATAACCCTCTACTTAAGCATGTTCCTATGGGCCTGCCCAGTGCAGGACTGTCATCACACTGCAGGAGATTGAATTTCAAGAAAATCTTGGCTACTCACGTTTTTCCACTCCGCTATTATTCCGTCTCTCAGTTCTGGCTCAGACAATGCGGCCTTTGACAAAACCTGATACTGTTCGTCTGGTTAGTCTTTAGACTACTGGGTTCTTGCCCAGAGTGCTGTCTGTTTTGTTACGCTCGTGTCCATTTTTTAAGCTCCTCTTCTTTTCATGAAAAAAAGGCAAAGGTGAGCCGTGATCCTGGCCCCTACTTTCATTGTGCTTCCATAATGTGCAGCGTGGCCACAGCTCTGTAATATAACTGCTTTACGTGTTTTTACTCCCTCATGGAGAGTAGTACAGACCTCTGTGTTCGGAGTTCAAGGCTTATTTAGGGTAAGAATAAGAATGTTGCATTTTATGAGCTCAGACCTCATGAAAGACCTTTTCAGTCTGCTCTGTTACAAGCAAACACTTCATCAAAGGCTTCATAAAAGCTGCTTTTACAAAAGAAGAAGAAAAAAGAAAATAGGTTTGTGCAATCATAAAATTGGCAAGGAATAGTTTGAAATTTTGGGAAATTCACTCTGTTCTAATGCCCGGCAGAGAATTTTGTGGTAGAATATGAAGATAGTCCTAAACAAATTTGTCCAACAATAACAAAATCCACTGTGTTTACTGGAACCCGAACAATATGTCAGTTTTATCGACTGAAATTAGCCTATTTAAGCTGTACCTGTATTGTTGTTGTTCGTTATGATGTGCTAAGGACACTTTCTATAATAATACAGAACATTACGTTTGGGTTAATTTAGAAATTATGTCAATACTCCTTAATTTTTATTCATTAGTTTAAGTGTACCATATATAAAGAGCTGATACATCCGTCCATTATCTATACACTGCTTAATCCTCATTACAGTCACAGGGGGCTGGAGTCTATCCCAGCTGACTTAGGGTGAAGGCAGGGGACACCCTGGACAGGTCGCCAGTCTATCACAGGGCTACACTTAGAGACAGACAACCAACCACACTCACATTCACAATCACCAGTTAACCTCAACATGTTTTTGAACCGTGTGGGAGGAAGCCGGAGAACCCGGAGAGAACCCACGCTGTACGGGGAGAACATGTAAACTCCACGCAGAAAGACCTTCTTGCTGCGAGGCAACAATGCTAACCACCGCTCCACCTTGCAGCCCAGAGCTGATACATTGACTGTTAAATCAATATTATAATGTTTACTCTCTAAAATCAGTATCAGAATCGTAAAACTTCAGCATCGGTCAGGCTCTAATAGTTACGCAAGAGTTTTTTTTCTGGAGTAGACAAGTGAGATGTAAAGTGTTAAGTAGAAGTGCTGGGATGCAGACTTCATCACTGCCTTGCAGAGAAAGACTCCTTTGCAGTCTCTGAGCTAAGCTGAGTGGCTCTGACAGATATGGCAGTAATATCAATCTCCTCTGACTCCACCAGCAAGAAAACAAATGTTTTGCTTGTCAAAGTTGGCTGCAGTAACTACAATTGCTCCACAGTGTAATAGCATCGCTGCCAAAAAATGCATTCCTGGTCCTATAATTTGACTGCTTGTATTGCAGCTTTATATGTTTTTAGACTAATATTAATACATATATCAAAGACATAGTTTGTCACATGCATTTGTTTCCTGGCCAAGAATAACAACTAATCAGTTTGCACAGATTAAACTAAGTAGACAAGTTTCATAAGAACTGGAAGTTCAGGTTGTTTTTTTTTTTTTTAAAGTTAGGACAGAGTCAGCCAGCTGTCTTCTGCCTTTTCCAGTCTTAACGTTAGGCTGCTGCCTTCTGGCTCTAACGCCAAACTTAATGCACGGTCATGAGAGTGGCATCAATCTTCTCATGTAACTCTCAGTGAGAAATCAAATAAGTCCATTTCCAAAAACGTCAGCGTACTCCCCTGCTTTAAAACCAGGTGAATTTCCATCAATAATTGAACCCCTGCAGGCCTCACTGTGCTTCAAAGGAAATCAAAGGCAAACACTGTAGTGAAGTCAACAAATCAGGAATCACATAAATAGTCACACTTTGGAACTGACTTTCCTTGAAGGCTTTGATGGTGTTTCATTCGTTCGTACGCGTAAAAAGTGATGGAAGTAGATGCGTGTAGAAAAGGGCTTGAAAGAGAAGTCCATACCTTGTTAACTTTTATACCTCTGAACACATGGCTGTGGAAAGTTGGGGGTTGTTGTTTCAGAAAGTTACAAATACTGTAACTGCAGCAGATTGAGGAAAACACCTTGTGGGTGCGGCGTAAAGATGATGGCTAAACGCCCTGTAAAAATCCCTATCATTCTTCAACATTTGCACATATTTTCAAAGCTGGTGTTGGTAATTATTCGCTGTTTGTAGCCTAAATGCTTACAGGTGCTGAAGTTCTAGGTTTTATTAGGTGGTCAAATTAATGCAACTACAAGTATTTTCAAGTGTGTTATTGGTTCAGGCTTTTACGGTTTTATTTAGTTCTGTATCATCCACCTGCAAGCCTTCGCTCGGCTTTTCTCAGATGTTTCCTTTCTGTGTTTTCTCCTCCCTCAGATGCATCAGTCAAACAGACCATTGTGGAAGACTACGGCTCCACCTGTCCGCAGGGCTATAAAAGATTCAACAGCACTCACTGTCAAGGTAACGCTGGCAGGACGAAGCGTATAACAAGGATGAATCAGAGCCAAGAACTCAGTTTGGGAGTTGTTTCTACCATTTCCAGTTTTATGTACCTAATGAAGCTACAGTTCCCGTGGGAGGGAGCTGCTGTATCACTTACTTTCTGTGTAGACATCATCAAAATAACCTCTTTGTTTTTTCACGCCTCGCCTCCTGACCTTTGAAGACATCAACGAGTGCTCCATACGGGGCGTCTGTCAGAACGGAGACTGCCTGAACACACTGGGCAGCTTCAAATGTTCCTGCAAGTCTGGTTTTGTCTTGGAGAGGAATCAGTGCATTGGTGAGTGTGAGGCCTTCTCCGGGGGTTGTCTTGTCTCCTGTGTATTCGTTTAAGTGGCGGGAAATTCTTATAAATGAAATCTTTCTCCTGTCCTGCGTTAGAGTCTCCAGCTGAGCAGGCTCAGTGCTTCCGCATAGCATCCGATGCCAGGGGCTGCGAGCACCCGCTGCAAACCGACATCACCCAGGAGATGTGCTGCTGCACGGTGGGCAAAGCCTGGGGCCGTAACTGTGAAAGATGTCCTCAGGTGGGCACAGGTGAGTGGCTTTCACCAAGCGAAGGGTTCAAAGTTCAGTTCAGCCTAAGTAGGGTAATTTTTTATGAATTAATTAAGAGCTGATGATGGAAATTTTACCCCATGTTTTCTCTGTGTATTAAATCATCACTCTTTTCATTTAGTGTGATGAATTGCAGCAATTATTCCAGGCTGTTATGCAGCTCAAGTGTGTGTTATTGCACATGTGAAGACTTGCTCGCTCTTCACTTCTGATTACACTTAACTAACTGTGAAATATGTTTATAGACCAGAGACGTGAATACAGGGATCATTCAAGCTTCGCATGGTGTTGCTCGTGAAGACTCCCAGTATTTGGTTAACAGTAAATATACACTGTACAATACATGAGGTTTAGAGAGGGCATGATTGGTGTTTCCTTGCATTAGCTTGATCTTCTTTAACTTTTAAACTAATCGTTTTCCTACTGACATCGGGTGAGAAGCAGAGTGTAAGGGGGTATTACTGTAGCAACACTATTTGTAAATGTATATGGAGAGTTGTGTGTCTGTATCCCAATCTGTGTATCTGTGGTGAGATCCATCGATGTGTAAAAAGATTTGTCAGTGCAAAGATCTGTAAATGCGTACAAAGATATTAATGGATGAACAGTCTAAGTATTTGGCTACAAGTGCTAGAAATCAAATCAAAGACAAATCACCAGTTACAATTCAAGCCGGCCTTTTGTCTTTTTACACATGACTTTTCTTACACTTCTGCTGTAAGAGATTTGTATCTGTAATATCAGGGTTTCTTTGCCCTGAGCTCAGGCTCACAGGCTCGTTCATTCTGGCTGTGTGCCACTCTGCTGCTCTGTACCTCAGTAGTTATGCCGCCTGCAAGCCATCAGGCAGCGCTATCCCCCAGAGTCTTTGAGGGCGCACGACATTGTCTGGTATATGTGAACAAGTTAAATTTGCTGAGTTTGTGGGTCGCTGAGCAAAAGCTTTCATGATGGACGATTGTGAGGCCCGCTTGACTTGTCACTGGTGATTTGTCTGTATTTCTAGCACTTGCACAAATACTTAGACTGTTCATCTATTAATAGCTTTGTACACATTGACAAATCTCACTATGGCACACAGATTGAGATACAGACACACAACTCTTCATACACATTTACAAATAGTTTTGCTACAGTAATGCCCCCATAAGGGTACGCCCTGGACAGTCCATCACTAATCTCACATAGTCAGACTATTCTCTATTAACACTGTGCAGAATGGTCTGACTGCATCTCATTGTTAGCTATAGGGGGATGGAAAACTGGCTTGTTTATATTTCTTCAACTTGTCAAAGCTAAGCACCAGGTGCACTGCCAGTGTTCACTCAAAATAGTGATGGAGGAATGGTTTACGTAGAACTTATGCACGCAAGTAGGTGAGCGCTGCCTTTAAAATAGATAACTCACTGACAGAGCCAGAACTTGCAGTGCTGCTGTTTTGCATGATCCACATCTTAAGGCAACACTTGAAATGTTCAGTGTGGTAAGTTTGTTGCTCCTGTAGTAGGAGGGGATTTTAAGAACAGTAACACAAAGATAGCAAAAGGGGAGGAAAAAGCTGTGTGAAATTCACATCCCACAATCTACATCTGGTGAGTCAGATTAGTTCATCACAGGGCTAAAACAGAGAGAGAGACAACCAAGCACACTCACATTCACACCTACAGCTAATTTAGAATTACCAATTAACCTACCATGCATGTCTTTAAACTATGTGAGGAAGCCGGAGCACCTGGAGAAAACTCTGAAGAAAAATAATTACCAACTTTTTCATTTTAAATTAATCTTTTTAGTTTTTCAAGCAGAAATCCCAAACATAGATTTCAGCTTCTCAAGTGTGAAGATTTGCTGCTTTACTCAGTATTACATTATAAACTAAATATCTTTATTGTTTTGAAATGTTGGGTGGTAAAATAAACTGTTGATGGCAATCACTTGGTAAATCTATAAAATAATCAGCTGACTGAGTTTGAGTTCAACTTCAGCCCTCTCGCTCAAAAACTCCTAAAAAGAAAATGGGGCTATAGCTCACATGGTTGAGCTGGTGTCCCATGTACAGAGGCTATAGTCCCCGAGGCAGCGGTCATGGGTTCGAGTCCCGCTTATGACCCTTTTCTTCAGGTTCCTTCTCCCATTCTTCTCCCCCACTTTCCTGTCTCTCTCTCTCTGTCCTATCTAATAAAGCCAAAACGCCAAAAAAATATCTTAAAAAAATAAATAAAATCCTAAAAAAATGATACTAGCAAATCAAAAATTGAAATTAATTGTTTACAGCGAGTACAAGCTCTTTTGGAGGCTGGAAGAAGCTGGACTTCTTTTTAAAGCTAAACTTGAATTCAGTCTATAACTTTTTAGGATAATCATACATTTATTAAATATTTTATTTCTTCTTAGAATGTTCAAGGCTATCTTTTCTACTTGCAAATATCAGAAGAGTGATTATGAAGATTTAGTCAAACTGACCGCATGTATTTTGCAAGATGTGAGATCCATAAGAGAGCATAATAAGGTAACAATAATCTTCTTTCTCCATGTGGTATTCAGTGGCCTTCAGTAAGATCTGCCCCGCTGGGAAAGGCTACTTTCTGCAAAACAGAAGAGAAACCGTGGCCCTTCCCTCCATCATCTTCGCCCGCACGCCTGACCTGGAAGGTGACTCCTCAGATACTCAGGGTTTCTTTAAGGCATCAGACATTTGATAATGTTTCTGCTTGTAAGTCCTTTGTGAAATTCATGTGAGTTCACCGTTTTAATTCCTGTCTGTTCTGTCATTTTCCTTTCAGAACCAGAACGGGTGGTAAGACATGATTTCTCTTTATAATACAGTCATAATTACAGCCTATTTTTGCTGTCGTGAAATCGGATTTTCACTTCCGATCAGGAGTGGCCTCCAGTGACGACGACTGCTGTGCAGCAGGCTCCGACCAGCACCAGCAGTCCTCGAGTTCCTGGTAAACAAACCTCCAGTGTCCCCAGTGAGAGTCATTCATAACAGCAGCAATAAAACTGTGACAGTTTATATACTAGTGGCACTAAATGTACTTTATTTGTCACGATGAGGGTAATGTTTCCTTCTTATCACTAACTGCAACAACGTCTGATAGAACAGTGTAGAGAAATGTTCCCCGTGTGTGGTGATGGCAAAAATATAAGGACTAAAGTTCAACATGTCATAGTTCCTCCTCAAGTCTGTCCACTTCACTTCTCCTCTGTTGGATCCACAGTTGTTAAACCCACCCCTCCGACTATCGTCCGAGTCATCCCGGGCAATGACCCCTTCGAAACACAGACAAAAGTCTTCCGTGAGTTTCACACAAAACCTAAAAAAAATCTACTCTGTATTAACCTCGTAAAGAGCTCCGTTTTATTAATGCTGGTTCATGTTTCATGTACCTCAAAACTGGGAAATCCAACTCTCCACTTTCCCCAGTAAGAGAAGATATGGTGGCGAGCTTTGGGTCCATTTCTCACAAATGACATGTTGACTTTCTCCGTGCAGTAGATAACATTTATCATAGCATGCAGGGGAGGTACTCTCAGTGAGGGTTTGATGCTGTACATAAAAAGAAACAGACATTAATCCAGTTAATTTAACACTAAGTTATATCAAGTCTGACGCATGCTTTTTTTTTAATGATTAACTGATGCTTTTGGGTACAGTGCATGTCGTGTGCATTCAGCCATGAAGCATGAACCAGCCTTAAGGCGATGTTCACACTCTTTCTGTTTTATGGAGGCAAAGTGTTGCTGTAACTACATGTTGTGCCGGTATTTAAGAGCAAGATTATGTGATACATGACACCTTATGAAAAGAAAACAACATTCCCCCAAAGATATCAGTGATAAGCGCTGACTGGGATCAACAAGCGGTCATAGGAGCGATGGAAACTACTGCCGCAGGCTGTAATGCTGCTGCTGCTTTCTCAGTCTGATCCTGGTCTGTCATGTGTGCGCATTAATGATTTCTATGAAGTAATTCGTAAGATAGCGAATACAATTTCTCTCAACTCAGTCTTTTTGACTGACATGTATCATTGTGTTTGATATTTTAAAAAAGTGTGAATATAGCCAAAGTCAGAAGAATTTAGGCATGGCATGGGTCTTATCAGCTTTATATATATATATATTTATTAAATAATATATATAACCACATACATCAATGTATCTATATATATATATACTGCATATAAATGTATATATATGATGCTGGTCCGCTTTTTGTTCCCTCCTTGAAGCAGAGACAGATGAATGTAGGCTAAGCAGAAACATTTGTGGTCACGGAGAGTGTGAGAACAGCCTGAACGGCCACATCTGTCACTGTCACCCTGGCTACCATCTCAACCCGCAGAGGAACATCTGTGAGGGTAAGAGACAATGGTAGAAACAGTGGGTAGAGGAGGTGCCGCATGAATTGAATTAACAAGAAATTTCTTATGAAGTTTCTTATGCATGGAGGCAAACACACGTCTTTCGGGTTCCAGGAACGTAGGTTTTGTATATGTTTCATGTAAACATTTCCCCTCACAGTTGGATATAGAATTATTCAGAAAGATAAGAGCTTAAAACCTGCTGCTAAGAGTTCATGTTAAGCTATAAAAAAATGTATCCATCCATTAAGTTTGAGAGGTAGCGTTGGTTTTGTCTACTGGATAAAATACAGCACGAGTACAGTTTTAAAAGTAGCAGAAAATGAGAGACATTGACTCTTGGATGTAATCATTCTCATTGGTTGTTTTCTAAATCAAAAATAAATACATGATAAGAATGATAAATGAAAACATTTTTCAATTTTTTCATCCTCTATCTGGCTGCGTTTGATTTTTCTCTGAAACTGAACTGATCTTCTCGACTGTGCAGGTCCATTCACGTCACATTACTCGAGAATAATTGCACATACATACATAATGCAACTTAGAACTATATGCCATTAGACTGCCCTCTAAATGTCATTTTCTATCAAATCCCACACTGGCAGTTGGAAATTTTAGATCAAGCTGAGACAACATCATCACATTTTAGTCGTACTTTCAAGCATCACTCCAAGTAAACTGAACTAAATGTGCAAAATTGATGGACTACCCCTTTAAAGTTTTGCTTATTAAGTTTAGTTATGGGTTTAAATGGGAAAGTAGATCAACCTTAAAGGACATCGTGCATGAAAAAAGCAACAAGTCACTGAAATGAGCTGAAATTTCTCTTGACTGGTTCAAAATGCAGAAGACTAAGACAGAAATATACCTACAGTTTTTTACTGACTGTGCATTTATACTTCTGTTGCTTGATTGATTGATGTATAGTGTTGTTTTTTAGCTTGTATATGAGCAGATCTGGTAGTGAGTGTGAAGTAGTTGATCTGACACATAGCATGATACAGTTACCGCTAAAGGAACATCAGGTTAGTGTAGGTCATGAAAAACACTTCCTGGAATCGGAGCACTTTGTCCTGCTGCCTGCCTCTAATATTCATCACTGTTTCCTTTGTGTGTCGTGGTTCTACATTTTTTTCCCTCACTCGTGTTTTCTAGATGATAATGAATGTGAGTCAGAGCCGTGCGGCCACGGCAGAGGCTACTGCGTCAACACAGAAGGAGGCTACAAATGCCACTGTCGCCAGGGCTATAAACACATGGTGCAGCACGGAAGGCTTAAGTGCATTGGTAAGTTAGGATGAGTGACCGTCATGTTGCAGTGTTGATTCTGTAAGTCCCTGCTTTGGCTCAAACCTCTCTGTCTGTGCAGATGTGAACGAGTGCTCTAAGCAGGACATCTGTGGTGTCGGAGGCCAGTGTGTGAACCTTCCTGGTTCTTACAAATGTGAATGTCACCCTGGATTTAGGAGCAAATCACACCGTCACCCAGCCTGCGAAGGTACAGAGACACCGATTATTATGACATCATGGATATTCCACTGACAACACACTTATAATATGTGTGCCAGTATGTTATGATCTACGCTCTGTGTGTTCGCGCGTATGTGTGCAAATCCAAACATTTTGCAACCATCTACACTTTTAATTCTAGACATAAATGAGTGTCTGAGTCCCGACACTTGCCCCAATGAGCAATGTGAGAACACACCGGGCTCCTATGAGTGTGTTCCCTGTTTGCCTGGTCATGAGGCTCGAGCTGGAACCTGCTATGGTGAGTGCAACTTTGCCATTCAGCAAAAAGAATCACCTTTTTGTTAAAATCTCTGTTTCTGTATATGTGTTTTTGTGGAGTATTGCCCAATTAGCAATATCATGCCAAAACTAAGAAAAAAAACACACCTGATGTGATTCGGCCATAAGACAGCATTACTGAAATACTGTAAAATATTTCAGTATCAGCCATGAAAAAAAAAAAGTGAAAATGATGGAGTAATTTCTTGTCTTTTAATTTCTTAGTTTTGTGAATCTGTACTGTAATAATGATAAGAAAACTCTTGTCATAACTGTGAGGCTGAACTCAACAAAAGTCCAAATGAGATATTGCGGTCATTTGCTACAAACACGTCTTTGCATCCAAACTATAATTTTTTTTGTTGTTAAAAAAAAAAAAAAAAAAAGTTGGATAACGCTCTGAGGACATTTAAAAAATGTTTGACAATGTTAGACCAGCATACAGTAACATTCTTAAAACGATTTGCGAATGTTCTTCTTTTGTTTTCATGCAACATTGTACAGAACATTCTTTGCATTTCCTCAACAACATCCCTGAAACATCCTCACAATACTGCTTCAAAATGTTCTGCTTTTGTTGATACATCATACAACAGCTGAAGCCTCGATAACATCTAGAATCAGTGGCCCTGAACACATCTTGTGAATATTGCAGTTAAAAGTGTGTCTTCGGTGACCTTTAACCTTATAAGTGTCCTTAAAACACACGTTGAACATTGGATTTTCTTTAAAACATTATCACAGTAAGTTACCTTTCCTCCTACATGTTTGACCAGACATTAATGAGTGTCAGAAGCCTGGCATTTGTCCTAACGGCCGCTGCGAGAACCTGCCCGGTACTTACCGCTGCCTGTGCAACGAGGGCTTCCTCCCGTTTGCAGACAGCAAAGGTTGCAGTGGTAAGTAATGCTACCTGACCTTTCCATGACTTTACCTAGACTAAGCTTATAAAACAGCTGAGTGACTCCTAATGAGGGATTCTCATGAGAGAAGGTGTATTTTCCAGATGTACACCGACTGCATTTTTTAAAATTTCTCCCATACAGACATCGATGAATGCGAGGACGTTCGGCTGTGTGCTTATGGACGCTGCATCAATACCGACGGCTCCTTCAAGTGCCACTGCTACCCGGGATACCAGCGCACACAGGAGGGCAGCCACTGTGAAGGTAGGAATTATTGAAGAAACCATGTATTTAAGTTGCGTTACATAAACCCAAAATGCAATTCTTAATCATTTAGAATACAATCTCAATGGATTGTCCATCAACGTCGGACTGTACAAGTAAAGACTGACTTGTGCTTCAACTTCCCACCATGTTTCATTGTTTGTAATTCCTTTCCTTCAGATATCAATGAGTGTGAGAGGCCATCTAGCTGTCTGAAGGGCCGGTGTATCAACAGCATGGGTTCATACCACTGTGAGTGCCAGAAGGGATACACGCTGGTCGGAAGCAGAGGATGCCAAGGTCAGAGACTTCATATGCGTAATGTCAGACCTTTCTGCAGCAGATGTTCCTCATATTTAATAATTAGATTTTTTCTTTGTGAATATTTATCTTCTATCTGTTTTCTTTCATCTCTTATATGAGATGAAGACACCATATGTTTTGCCTTTTTGTCAAAATCTTGCCATCAATTTAAAAGGATTTCAAGAATGTATACGTGGCCCCCTAACTTTCAACTGTCAACTACAGGCGTTTGCCATCATTGTAATATGTGTTGTTGTATTTTTGTGTTTGGTGGCAGAAGCGGGTTTAATTACGCAGGATTAGAATCGATATGCTAAGTGTCTATACAAATATAACAATAGCCAAATGTTGTCTTATTTGCGCCTCAGACGGTGTTTGGATTGAAACAAATGCTTAGAGCAGCCCCTGTGATTTACCTTTCAGACATCGACGAATGTGCCGCAGACAGAAGTCTCTGCCAGCCCTACGGCTCTTGTGAGAACAGACCGGGCTCGTATGTGTGCGTCTGCAATCACGGTTACGTCCTCTCAGAGGACAAACACAGCTGTGAGGGTAAGCCTGCTCTGATTCCTTTAGTTTACTGTAGAGCCACATTCATCCCAGAACTTAAAATGCTGAACATGTAATCCCAGCCTGCTCCAAACCCTAAACTTTTCAGTTCAAATCTGAAACAAATCTGGAGTCCAGAAATCCAACCAATTATAATCATAAATTACCAAATCCTATATGTATATGAACTGAGGTACAGACGTTAAAGCATTCAAATAAATAGAAAATTCAGCTTGGTTCGCCGAAAAAATGTTTGAAGTCCATTGGATATGCAAAGCAAAACCTGTGTTTGCTATGTTTCCTGCAGCAGTGCGAGTGCTGACGGATGAGAAGAAGGAGTGCTACCTGAACCTGGACGACACTGTGTTCTGCGACAGCGTCCTGGCAACCAACGTCACCAAGCAGGAGTGCTGCTGCTCCATTGGAGTTGGATGGGGGGATCACTGTGAGATCTACCCCTGCCCAGTTTCCCACTCAGGTACATTTGCATTGTGCTGTGCATACAAATGCAATATTGGGAATCTATCTATTAGATTTTTTCTGTTTACTATCCTCTTCCTTGTTTTCTCCAATCCAGCCGAGTTCCACTTCCTTTGTCCAAATGGACAAGGTCTCTACTATGAAGAGGGATTTCAGTACAGCCTGCCTGCCTACCACGGTACATATTTTCCAACTGTAATGATGAAATGATCTCAGTAGCACTTGAATTAAACTACCTTTGGGATGACCCTTGTCCAAAGATGCTCCTGCTGTCTCGGTTTAGAAGAAAAAGCTGTCAACCATTTCCCATAATTCATCCTTGCAAACATGTCAGCTGTGAACCTGTGAACAAAAAGAGATCTTTTCTTCCTTGTCTGCAGACATTGACGAGTGTTCCTTGTTTGCTGATGAAATCTGTAAGAAGGGTCGCTGTGAGAACACACTGCCAGGATATGAGTGCTACTGTCAACAAGGCTTCTACTATGACAGCAACCTCCTCGAGTGCATTGGTGAGTGCTTTGATCCACAGCATGAAATGACACCTGAAGCTTTCCCCAACAGTCTTGTAGATGCTCTGTGACACGCTGTTGTTGTGTCGTTTTCCTTCAGATGTTAACGAATGCCACGATGAATCTCTGTGTACTAACGGTCAGTGCGTCAACACCGAGGGCTCCTTCTACTGCTACTGTAACCGGCCCTGGACCCCAGACTCCAACATGAAGAAGTGTGTGATGGTGACAGTAGCAGGTGAGTGAATTATCATCTCCCAGCTTAAACTGCATTCATCTAGCTGCTGGAGGAATCGTCTTGAGCACCTGTGTTTGTGTTGTACAGATGTAAACGAGTGTGAGGACCCAGAAAACTGTAAGAACGGCCTCTGTGTGGACACGCCAGGGTCGTACTACTGCATCTGCTCTCCACCCTGGACTCTGGCTACTGACCGTAACAGTTGCGTGACTCCTGAGGAGCAGGCTGGTGAGTGGAGACCCTCTGCTGTAGCACAGTTACAAAGAACAGCAGTTTAGACCGGACAAAGTGCTTAGAACAACCTTAAAAGTACTCTGCATACTTTTTTGTTTACATACAGTGATGGTTAGATGAGGAAGATTTAATAATCCATCTGAGTTAAACCACAAGAATCCAAAAAACGATTGAAAACAATCATTTAAAATCAGGTTACAGTTACTGATTAGACAAATTAAGACATAAAGAACATGTGCATGCATATATCTAACATTTTGTACATGAGATTCAAAAAAACAGTTACTCATTTAGGCTATTGTTTCTTTATGCAGCACAGTTCCAGTCAGCGGTTGCCTTCGTATTTTATTTTGCTATAATTGCTGCCTAAATAAACTCTGAACAAATATTACATTTATCAGGGGGAAATCTACATTTACATCTACAAATGCATCTTGGATTTCTGAAATGTTTGTTAGCATCATACCTCTTTGGAAAATGGAGAATTGTAGCATAGCTGTTAATAAAACCTGCAGTTAATATTCTGGTTATAAGGATGAAATAGGAACTGCGTTTTCAACTATTCAGCATTTGATATTGAGTTGTCATGGAGTCAGAGTTTGTTAAAAACAACATGACCAGAGAATGGGGACATGCAGTTAGAGTTACATAGTAAGAAGTGGCAGTGAAGAATGACATGACTTTGGTGTAGCTCTCCTGTGAACTTGTTGCCAAAAGTCATTTGTAGGAACTGCGGTGTTCAAATGTGGTCAAGCATTCAAGGTGTACTTGTCACCGCTGTTGTTTGTCATTTTTGTGGACGCAACTCAGCTGAGGTCTGGAAAATGTCTGTTCAGTGACACTGAGGTGCCGTTGCGGATGTGCAGATGAACTTGTTCTTTTAGTCAGTGAGTCATGGTTTACAGGAGCAGTTTGTTGCTGGATGTGGCACAGTTGGTGCACAGACCCAAGTTTGAGATTGAGATTCTGTCTCACCAAAGGGAGAATTCCTCAGGATCTTCTTCAGAATCTTGACATTGATTTCTTTTAATGCATGTTGACTGCAATAAAGCTAATGTTGAAGCTGGCTGTGGTGTTGGATGCAAAAGTTAAATGCTAGTAGATGTTCATTTTGAGCCTCATCTATGGTCTCAAGCTTTGAGTAGGGTTACAAACAGTGAAAATGGAATTTATCCAAAGTGGAAGGACCTCTATCAAACTGCTGTGTCTCGGCATTGAAACAAAACCGTTAAAGAAATTCCTGATTTATCAAGAATATGAAGTATGGATGGCTCTGGTCCTCCAGTTATCACTACAACCATGACATGAATTGATGGGTAGATGGAGTTTAATTATCTTAAAACACATACTTGGGCACCTCTTTTGCAATGGATCTGATAATTGTTGGTAACTGTGGACCCATCACAGAGCCCCACTGTGCCTATACTAAGGACAGAAATCATGTGTCAAAAAAAGTAGGAAAATCATTGCTATGAGTCATTCTAAACTACTTTTTCAAGTTGGGTAAATAGGGACTGAATGAATGTGTGCATGACTTGTCCTGGAATGTCTTGGAATTAGGACAGCTGTATTTATAAAAGAGTTGGAAAACCCTGAGGATTTCTGTTTTGCAAGTCTTCTAGATGCTCATTCTCCAAATTTCAGTCTAGTGACACCATATTGGGTTCTATTCAAGCGTAAAAAAAGAGACACCCAACATAAAGTAATAAATAGAAAGTTTATCCGTATTATGCATCCACATAACGGTACACCCTGGCCTACATAGCAGTTCCTGCAAACCTCTTGGCAGATCGTAGTGCTGCTGGAACCAAGCTCCCTATTTTAACCTTGCAGATATCACAGTGTGGTTGCATTTTTACGAGACAACAGCTGCAGTGTTGTGCATGACTGAATCTTTTTTTGTCTTAAGCACAATCTTGCATGCAACACTTATGGTAGAAACATAAACAGAAAGAAAACAGGATATACAAGGGGGTGGACACAATAACATTACCCATCACTGTACACGATTATCTAAACCAGCACAATGTCACGACAATGAATGCTGCAGCTGAAGCCGTTTTTGTTTGGACTGTGTCAGAGCTACAGTTATTCAACCCGTCCTGTTACATAGGGGACGTGGACTGAGTAATTCAGATCCACCTCACACTTCAGCTTCAAGTAATACAGAATTTAACAAACAAACACATGTTCACACAAATCTCCATAATGGAATAAATATCGAAGGGCTACAGCTGTGAACAAAAGTTTATTTATACTTGTAAAGACTGTGTATATCATGGCAGTCTAGTTTATAGGGACTCCCACAGCTCTTAATCTTCTAGGATGGTGTGATTGAAACAAATGTGTCTTTGTCACAAAAAACAATCATGCATTCTGGTTCTTTCATAGATTTATTATAAGTCTTCTGGAAGTATAACCAAAACTGCTGTACACACAACAACCTGGATGATCGTGTTTGGTGGTATTCATTTATTTAGTGGCATGGTCTCCTAACTTCTTGTGAGTGATTACGGTTGACTACAGCTGCTGACTCCTCTGAGCCAATTTAAATAAAGCTGATTTGATGCACTCTTTAGACTCTGCCACAAAACACTACAGTGGACAAGTCTGAGGAGCTCAGCACAGATCCAGAACAGTGAATCATTGGCTTGAACAAGTCAGGAAAGTCACTTGGAGCCATTTCAAAGCAGCTGTTCCCATGTTGTTTTGTGAATGGACCCCAGGAAGACTAGCCACCACTTGGTAGAAGCTAATGGGGATCCAAATAAAGAATGTAGTTACAGATCCCAAAATCATCTGTACAAACCATTGTTTGTCATTTTAAAGTGTGTGGCACAGCTGGGTCACTGCCACAATCAGGAAGAAAACACAAACTTTCACTTGTTGCTGGGAGACAAATAGTCATGATGGTCCAGATTCAACCAAGAATCACCAGAAAGAAGGTCTGCAATGATTTTAAAGCTGCTGGAACACGTGCCAGTGTCTAGAAACAGCAACTTAAAGCTTGACTGAAGTTTACATTAACAAAGAAAAGGCCTCCTGGAGGAAAGCTCTGTGGATAAGTGACCCATAATTTAGCTATTTGGCTGCAATGACCAGAGATATGTATGTTAGCAGGAGAGAAGGTGATGCCTTTAAGCTTAAGAACATCAAAGCTCCGGTCAAGCATGGTGGTGGCAGTATTATACTCTGTTGCTGTTTTGCTGCCAGTGGAACTGAAAAAACAACAGGTTAGTGTGGCCTTCCCAAAGCCCAGGCCTAAACCCCCATGGAGAACCTGTGGACTGTGCTGAAGAAGCAAGTATTTATCAGCAAGACAACACATTTTGTGTAACTTCATAAATTCTTTGGAGGAGTTGTCAGAGATAAAACCAGAAGCTTGTGAAAGGCTACCTAAAGCACCTAAATGAGATGAAAATGGCCAAGGGACATTTAACCAAATATTCAAATTGTTGTATGGATGTTTTTAACCCGCAAGATTTCGTCATCCTTCCAGAAGACCTATAACATATTTCTGCAAGAACCAAAATGCATGATTGTTTTTTGTGACAAAGAGTTGTGTTTCAATCATTCCATCAAAGAACATTAGGAGTTGTAGGAGTCACTGGAAACTCAAGACTGTCATGATACACATTGTCTTTACAAGTGTTTGTAAACTTTTGTTCACAACTTTAATTGTATGGATTTTTATATTTGTAGTACAAGTTTATTTGTTATTGTGTCCACCACCTACAGGCTAATAGCTGGCCCCAAGCAGATGTTCATACTGTAACCAGTGTCTGTGGTGCCCTTTGCAGATGTGAATGAGTGCCAGGACCCCTCGTACTGTAAGAATGGGAGGTGTGAGAACACGCCCGGCTCCTTTCACTGTTTTTGCGACCCTCCCCTCACCTTCAGTGCAGCGCTGAAACAGTGCGTCTATGACGGTGGGTAAAATCAGCGTCAGCTCACCTGAGCCTGGCCTCTTAAAATGAGTTTTGGCTTACCTCGACATCTGCCACTCATGCTACTCTTTGTAATTCCTCCCAATGTGTGTCCCATCTGGCCAATACTGACTTTACGATATACCCTTTCCCTTTTTACGCGCCTTTATAGAGACAGTTTCCTATTCTTGGACAGAAACCACTTTGTGTAGTCATATCGAATGTATGCACAAAAACAGTATCAGAGTATGTGAGAATACATGATCACTTCTAGCAATTTCCCTGCATGTTTGTGTTCAAAACAATTTTTGTCTCTGCTATTATGGATGTTTTTTTTGTAGAGAAAAAACAGACTCAGCATCTGAGAACATTTAGTGGAGAATGTCCTGAGCTCACTAGTAATACTTCTGCATGCAAGATACATGATTCATAATAATTCTGTGTTTTTGAAGTCAGTAGGCTGTTATTAGCTGGTTTATTATTTACATCTGGCAAAAAAAAAAACAGTGAACACTATGTCAGTCCATTTTTACAAGTGTAGAAGATGCAGAAACATACTGACCAACAAGAGACTGAGCTTTAACAATAAGCTTTTTACCTAGTGAAGCTTTTTACCTATTACGCCAACCAAACAACACAGCATGCATGTTGTTTACTATTAAGCACAGTGTTTGAAAGATCGGTACCCCAATTTTATTTAATATAATTATGCATAGAATTGACTCACAAAGTATTTCAACTGTTGAGTTTACATTTTAGGAATATCTTACACTTTATGTAATTACACCAATTAGCTTGTTAGTGCAAATTAAGAACTATAGGTAATGAACCTGTCACTTCTGATCATTGTAATCAGGCTGCAAACTACACTATTCATACTGATATGGACGTGGTTGTGATTTCAAGTGTGATAACAAAGTAAAACTGGTTCCTCTTTGCAGATATTATATTTTTGGCACTTTTTGTATGGTCACTTAACATTGTCTGCACATTCTAACAGTTGTGTATGTAAATAAACAATACAATCTATAAAAACAGATTAGGATCTATGTGCCACAGTACTCGATAGTACATGAACACTGTAGTTGGTTTAGTTGGGCTTTTTCTTTCACTTTACCTGGTGAATCTGAACATATTCAGAACTCGACTCATTCTAAAAAGTCTTCTTGACAGTCACGGTGGCCATTTGACTTTCCTTCGTGACCAAATTGTGTATTTTGCGCCATATATCCTGAAACAAACACAGTAAAGGTGAGGTCTGCTCATTACAATCAAGGATTACACTACAATACACATCATAAACTGTTCAGTTTGATAGTTAAAGGTGAAATCATGTTGCCATTTATGAAAATGAAGTCATCTCTGAAAACTTAATCAAGATATTATAATATCATGTGTGTTGCATGCATGTTGTGAAGAATTTTAAAATCTTACTCCTTTGGTTGATTAATCCTGGAGATATATTGGCTGTAAAGAGTAGAGCAATATTTTACATGACCTTCTTAGCTTAAAAAATGCAAAGGTTCATTTCAAAAAGTTTATTTCAGTAACACATTTTGATTGTTGAGGCTATTGTACTCTGCCTCCTCCCCAGTCTTCTCCATACTGACACAGAGCTGTGCACTTAAAGAAGGATGTTATGTGATTTTCTTTTCATAATGTCTCTGAATTTATCATTAACTATGGACAGTTTGTGATGCTGTATTATAGTATGACTGTAGCCCTTGACCATAAGAACAGAGACACACATCACTTTTTCTGTGTTACCAGAAGATGCGGCGCAAAATACATGACAAAGACTAATTTTGACATGGCCTCGGACTGTCAAGTTTCATGCATTTATGCAAAAGTTAACATCATTTTTTAAATATCTCCTGCACTAAAAATACATTTACAGCAGGCTGAAAAACTGTTGTGGCCACTTTAAGCTATACAAGTGCCCACTCTATTAGGATTTTTACTTATTTCGTCACTCATAGATTCACAGAGAAGCTCCTGACCTCTGTCCCCCCCCAGTCATAACAAGTGTGTACAGAGAATAAATGAATGGCAATATATTTCATGCACATTTGCTAGTTCACACATTATTGTTGGACCGAGGAATATTCAAGTGGATTCCTTAACTTTTACATGAACATTTATTGAGGTTTTAGCATCCATCCTCAATGAAGAGATTGTGAATGTAACATAATGTAAGCTGATGTAATGACTTTCAGCCAAATATTGCTCATTTTTAAAGAATGTCCTGCGGTGCATGGTGGTCCTTCTGCAACAGACTGTTTCACACAAACCTGATGTTATTCTTAGAGCTGAATGTGAATTTCTATACTTTAAGTATGAATTGCAATGCAAATAAATGGAACTTCATGTTCATCTGACACTATAAGATGTCATGTCTGTCTTTAATCCTTAGATCGCACTGCAGCCCACAAGGATGTGTGTTTCCTGCAGGTTGACGAGGGTTCCATGTGCAGCCAGGCCAGAAACGGCATGGTGGTGACGTATTCAGAGTGCTGCTGCCACTACGGTCGAGGCTGGGGGCCCGAGTGTAACACCTGTCCACCCAGGAACTCAGGTGAGCCGACTGAAGGTCCAACTGGCCTCTTGGTACAACTTTCTCTTGGACTAAAAAGAAGTTTATTCCTTGTGTTCAGAGATGTTCAGTCGTCTGTGTGAGATGCACCTTGAGACCGAGTCCGATGGGGAGCAGGATTTCCTGGCAGCTTTCGCCAACTACAACCCAGGTATCTTTGTTGTCAATCTACAATCATATCAGGAAAACTGTATATATTTCCCTCTCTCCAGCTCACATTTTCTGTCTTCCCTTCCCTGTTTGTTCATAAAAAGGTGACAGTTCAGAAGAGGATTCAGACGAGTGCAGCTGTGCAAATGGTCGCTGTGTCCGTTCCTATCTAGGCACCATGTGTGATTGTAACCCAGGCTTTAGGCTAGACCACTCCCGTACCCGCTGTATAGGTTTGTACTCGCTACGTGTACAAAAATACTTCTTCTGTTGCTATTTAAGGACTATATATACACACATAACAACTTTATGCCTTTGAGTGATCTTTCATTTTCCGTTTAACAGCTTCCACTCATTCATAAGTGCTCGTGTTTATTTGTTCCAGACATTGACGAGTGTGCAGAACCAGGAGCCCGTGTTAGTCCGTGCAAGAACGCCCGCTGTGTGAACACCGCCGGCTCATACAAGTGCTTCTGCAAACACGGCTTTGTGGCCACACGCAGGCCAAACGTATGCGCCCGGCGCAGAACTCGGTAACCTCCGTGTGTCACTCTGTTTATCCCAGTCTATGCAGCACACTCAAAGTCTCCCCTGTACATGCTGTACGTACACTTCTCTTTCATAGTACAAACATGGGACTGTTTGTACGCAGTGAACCTAAAAAACATGTGTTCTCATCAGGAGCCACATCATAGCAACGGCTCATATGAAATGTACAAAACATATCACCGTCAGCTCCTCTTCCACTCGCCATTTCACATTTTTTTAAAAAAGTACTCAATAAAGACAAGAAATATGGTTGTTTATTTGTTTGTTAAACGTTTTTTGTAATTATTGTCTTTTTTAAAAGCTGTTTTTGTAGTTTAAGTTTAAAATGTGCATTTTTTTGTGATCTCCCTGTTGCATTGATCTTAATTTGAATCTCAAGCAAACTCTTGGTTTAACAGGGAAATACAAAGATCTCTATGGTATGACTGTTGTCTTCAGCCCATTTAATATTTGTATACCATAGGAGTGAACTTTTACATGATGCGGATTCCCCTTTACATTCCCATTTAATCCGCATTGCTTCATGTTTAAATCTAAATCAGCTAAATTGTTTTTTTCTAGCCACACTTTGTTGATTTTATTGTATTGTACAGTTTGTTCAGCAGAAGGGTCCCTGTCCTGCCCCTGTTTATTTGTTGATGTAAAATATGAGAAACCCGAGGTTTTTGTATAATTTGACATGTGCACCTAAGTGTACTTAAGCAAGATTTGTTTTGTTAAAAAAAAGTTCATGCACTAAGCAATGAATATAGTGGGAATATTTGCTAAATGTAGCTTTTTTTCTGGAAAACCAAGAACGTTTAACATCTATTGTCATAATTGCTGCATCAAAGTATTTAGAAAACCAAAGACGCTGTTGTGATAAGAAGAATTTAATTAAAAAAAAGAACGTGTCAACCAGTCGTGCATTTGTTTCTCTTGTGTTTTGGAGGCAATACGTTTTGAAGAAAGGTGATAGTGATGCCCTTAGTTCAGACAGACACATCCAGACAGTGAGGCACAGAGTCCTCCAGGTTAAGAAGTTATGCAGGTCTGTGCTGTGGATGATTCAGTGTTGCCTTTCAAGCACACCTAGAAAGCAAATAAACCCGGCACACAGCAAGGTTTCCATACATCTTCTATTAGATTTACTTCTATGCTGTTTTGCTTTCTCCGTCAATATACAAATCTGTGACATTCATAAACTTGTTTTTTGCTTTCTTTTTCCACAGATTTTGGCTGGTTAACATGCTGGTTTGGATACATTTGCATATTTAAAGGCGTTCTTTGGCCGCTTCACGCGTAGTACTGAATTAATATTTCAAACCAGATGTTTTGCAGCATCAAGACGCATTTTGTTTTTGTTTTCATAAACAGAAAGGTTTCGAGTAGTAAAATGGGAGTCATTTTGCTGCTCCTTCGGTGCTGCAAATTATTCCCCACAGATGTTTGTGCAACCAGACTGTTGCTGTAACCTTTTTAAAACCCACCAATAAACTAGGATTTTCTTGAATCTAAAATCTGGCTGCTATTCTCGAAGATATCTATGATCATCAAGTGTAATTACTTATTTATTACCATGGCAGACAAAAACAAGTTCCTGCAAGATCTGCAAATATACAGTGATGTAGGTAAAGAGCACAATTCATGAGGATAAGTTGTTCAAGAAGGCTAAAGCTCTTTTCACTGGACCTAAATATCCCCCCAGACCTTGTTATACCAGTGTTTGGGACTGTCAGGCCTGTATCTTGTATCATCTGCTAAGAATATCTGAGTTAATTCTGTTGCTGCTACAAAAATACCTCCAGATTCAAATCCTCCCCCTTTTTTTAATGACACTTGTAAACTGCCCGACGAAGAAAGTTAAATGTGTTTTGTTTTGTTTTATGGAAAATGTTAACCTTGAATGTTTAATCTCCATTTAATTCTACTTAATTGCAAGTGTAATCCAGTTCAGCAGGTCATGCAAACATTAAATGTAGCAAAAATAAATTCAACATGTGCTGGTAGTAGAAGAGCTACTTCAAAAATAAATGGATGATTCACTTTGTTTATAGAGAGTTGTAATTGCATGTGTTTAACCGGCTTCACTCGACGGCCACAAAAATCCAAATGAACGACTGATAAAAGTTTAACTGAGGCACAGAAATACAGTGTTAAAGAAAGGGATAATAAAGCTGTAGGAAATCACATTTTGTTACTGTGTCCAGTTTTCACTGACCTCAACAGAGCAAATCATTCTGAACTCCTTATAGTCGACTGAATTGAGGATGGTCAGAACCTCAGAAATGTACCTTTGAATGTTTTTTTTGAATAACATTTCATTTTTTCTTTATCAGACAAATACAACAGTAAGAAAATACATTAAGTACATCAGTTGTGGAGATTCAACTTGAAGTAAAATGCTCATGGAGAGGTGCAAATGGGACAAAGACCACAAAGCCCGCTGCCTGTATCAGCTACCTGAAGAACAGCGCCATCTTGTGGCTTCTTGGTGTTACTATAATTCCTACATAGAACACAAGCAATGCTTTGTGAAAGTTACTGTAAAAAGTCACCAGATATTTTACATCAGAGGAAGTGGAGCTTGAATAGTAGATGAGGACACAGTCAGAGGTCAGCATGAGCCGGCCAACTGGGGTTTGAGATTTATTTTGCTTTCTGTTTTATATTAAATATTTCAATCTTGTTTGGCTTCATCTCATCTATTGTCTGAATTTGCTTCCAGCTGTTTTTGTTTTGAAATCAGGTGAACTCATTTCCATTTTCTTTTATTCAGTTGTGTTTTGTTGTTTATTGTTCTTTTGTAATTGTAAAAATACAATGTGTCTTGATCATACGTTCTTAGATATGAACTGGACTTCATTAAATTCTGCACGCCTGAGTGACAAATAGTGGTTTTGACTTAAAATTGTGGGCTGATTGTGTTTCTAAAAATCATGCAGAGAAGCAGCTGAGACTCATGCAGTCTGTGAAGGATAACACTGATGTGGGCAAATGTTCGTTTATGTTTTTTCTATAGTCTTTCTTTTTGTCTGGACTGTTAAAGTCCTTTAACAATAGTCCTAATGTCATGTTGTAGCACTTGTCATGACCTCAAGCAGACTGTATTATATCCTGATACACCTATAAACTGTTAACTATTTGTCCTGTTAGCCTTTGTGATGTTTGTTTGTTGGTTGGTTTTAGCTGAGAGCAAACAGGACACTGACTAACTCTGAATCCAACACGTTGGCTAGTGTCACTGACAACGTAAAAGACTTGCACAATGTTAAACGTGATCACGGGCTGCAGAGAAAATCTTAAAAAAAAGAAACAACAACAAAAAAAAAAAATGTGAGTTCATAAATGATCATTTAGTTTAATGTTGTATGTTGGAAAATTAGAGAATCCGCTTAAATAAGACTCTCGTAAATGTTGATTATACCGCTACATGTCTGACACTGACAACCTTCTTACTCAGCCTTCTTTAAGTCGTTCTGAATATGTTGAACTTTTCGCTTTGTGACATTTTTAGAATTTCACAGTTCACATTCAAACCATTTCCAGATTTAAAGTCATCAAATAAGTTGTGTAACTTGAAATGATGATTTGGTTTAACGCAGTTAAGTGCATTAGCTTTTTAAACTTAACTTAATTACTAATGGATTTCTATAATATCATTGTGTGAGCATGTGTAACTATTTCAAGCACTCTTTCTTCAAGCACTATTTTACTGCGCTGTAGCTGTCAGCATATGTTAAACTATAAAAAATCAGGTGGTTAAGCCAAGACGGATCAGATTTTCCATTACCTTCCCAGTGATAAAATAAACACAAGTGTGCCTGAGGGAAAATCTTTTATGTAATATTTCAGTTTTTGACAGCTCAATAGCGAAAGTAATGCAAAATAAATATTGTGAAGTATATAATGTAGATCAGGCTTTGTTTTTCAATGCTATAAATGCATGTCTTATATGTCAGTGTCACAGCAGTCATTCAAAAAAGTCATTCTCGTCATTTAAAAAATCAATTAGAGCAGCACTTCAGGACCACTACACTTGTTTTTAGCCTCTCTATTTTACAAGTCTTTGTGTAATTTGTAATATTGTGTGATGAATCTGTTTTTGCTTTTCATCTTGTTTGTACGCTGTCTCTTGACTAGGTCGCTATTGAAAACGAGAACCAGTTCTCAATTAACTTACCTGGTAAAATCAAGGTTGAATAAATAAAATACAGATATGTTGACTAATTCTGAACACATTTTAGCAGTTAATTCAAAGCTGTAGTAAATGATATTTGTTTTTGAAGAGAAATCCAATCATGGTTGGTGGCTATTGCTTTTTAAATGAAGGTAGCGCTTTAATTTGAATCTTATCTTTCTCATTGCCAAATGACTTCCCGTAAGCATCCCTTGATTGGATTATTCAACTCAAAAATTACCTTTTTCTCTTCAAATTAATGACTCAGAAATACTTGAGTGCACTCCACACCACAAAAAACAATGTATTCCATCTCTATGCTTACTCCATCTCCACCCAGAGATTTAGTTTCTAGGTGTATAATATAATGCAGTCAGAATTTACAACAGTTTTGGTTGACAAATAACCCCAAAAGTCAGTTTATTCAGTGAGCAAAGCTGATTTTAAGATGATGCATGGGAAGTCGTCCCACTTTAGCCCATTCCAACCCAACCTGTGGAGGCAGACAGCCAGTGAAACAGCAGCGTGAGTAAAAAGCGGTACAGATGAGGCTGCGCTCCTGCTCAGACAGTCCATGAGTCACGACGCCACCGAAGCATTTATCTGTGTCCCCCTGAGCTCTGAGATTTGTTCATTAATCACATCTTTTATTCTTGCTCGCTTTCTGTGGTCGTAGAAAGAATATTAATGTTTCAGTCACTTTTTGTATCGAGTCAACAGCGCACCTAATTGGAGAATTTATTGTGATGTTGTGTTTTGTTATGCTTTCTGCCTGAAAAAAAAAATATTACTGTTGGTGAAAAGGATCTCACAGCCCACTGAGCAGCTTGAAATACTGCAGAGAGAATGCAGGTGAATGTGTCTTTCTCAGTCAGGCTTTTTAGTGCAGTTTTTGTAATTTGTTGATTTAATTCAATGGCTTGTAATTGAGTGAAAAATCAGAGATTGTCATTGCAAACTTCATAGAATTTCCTAAAATAGCAAGGCAGGAAAGCTTTGAATTCCCTGCTTTTGCAGCCTGTTAGAGCAAAACTGAGATCAGAGAAAAATTGTCAGTAATGAGCAGCAAATTTCTTGCAGTAGACCATTTAATCAGTCACACAAACTGTTTTCTTCTACACAATACTGCTTGTCTGACTTACACTCAACAGTCATGTTCAGAAATCAAAAATGTAAAATTAAACACCATTATTCAGAGAGACCTTGCTGTTTATGTCTAAATAATACTTCCAATGTCTTTTTTTCTGTGCTTGATTTTGCAGATATTATAAAATGGGGCAAAAATAATCCACAAGATCCTCCACTAGAGGGAGGTGCTGATACATATGTGCAGCAGTTAACGTGGTTTCCATTATTTTTAACAGGTTCCTCGCTTTCCGGATGTCCCCACTATGGGGTAGTCATCTCTGATAGGGTTATATAGCAAATGTGAGCGTGTGAGTGGGATAAATATAAAGTATAAATGTCAATATTCATAATCCCACTGCTTCTGCGTTACAGTAAATGCATTATTCATGTTCATTTGTCCTTGTTTCATAAGTTGTGGCAGAAACACGCAGTGGATATTGTATTCATAAGTGGAGCCTCATTTTGTAAAGTTCAGTGTCAAGAAATACATTATAATTTCTATCATTCTTATTTCTGTCAGTCAACAAAATAAGCCCGGAGCTTTTCTCATTATTTTTGACTTTGGTCGGACATGATAAATGTTGTAATAGTTTCAAGAAGTGGGAAATTTGAATCACTATTACATATGTAAATAATGCAGCTGCCTTTTATTGTCTTGTGTCAAGTATTAGAAATACTGTAGGTGTGTTTTTTAACTGACTGCCACACTTGTTGTCATTTCCCACTTCTCAGTTGACATATGAATGAATGCTATCATGTGATTCATAAATGTTAACTGCCTGCGAAACAGCGTGTCCCCTGATTTGCACACCAAGAACCGGATGTCATAACTCACAGAAACTGTCTCGCTCCCTCTTTCGCACGGACCTATAGATGGTCCTCGTCTTGTGAGCTCCGTGAGTCACGTTGCACCTTTGGGGCGCCACAGCTCCTCGCTGTCCTGGTTTCATTCTGTCTAATTATTATATAATTTTAAACTGGAGCAGCAGGGTGACCTCCAGCAACTAGTTTAGGGAGAAACTGATATAAGAAAAGGGACGGGAGAGACAGAGGATGAGCAAGAACCAGCACGGAAATAGCACAGCTGTCCTTGGGATATGACTCAAAAAAGTGGCGTTGAGGATATAAATATCTTTTAGTAGGTCGAGCTGACCGGAGTATAACCCGCTGGGTACTGGTGGCCGCAGACTGCAGCGACTAAACTTTCTTCTTTCTTGGCCAAATACAACTTTAGTTGGCTTTGGAGGGACAATCATGACATAACTTAACAAGACAATTATGATGCTTGGGGATGACTTGCATATTTCACATCTGCCACTTGGCAAACACAGACAATCTGCTCATTTTTTGTCCCCATATTTACAGTGCACAATCATAAAGACTGGACAAGACTCGCCTAATTAATTAGAATGATTAGGTCCGTCAGTCAGTCACTCCAGATTTGTTCAGTCATCAGTCTCACTGTAATTGCAGTGGCTGATTTATACAGCGGGGAAAGCAAAGTGGGAAACATTGTATGTAGAAAGGTATTTTTATGACCTGCCTTGGAAAGCCTGTTTATTCAGTATCTTGTGGATCCTTGGTGACAGAGTGGTTGATTTATATAGTGTATTTCCTTTGGGTTTTCTGCATAAGCCAGCACTGAACAAAAAGACAGCTGATAAATCATAAAATCCCTTGGAGGTGGGAGAAGAAAAAAAAAAAAAAGCAAACTAAAGTCTGGCTAATTTGTACTCATAAATACATAAATATTTTTGAAAGATTTATGTAAAGATAAAGCTTCACAAACAATGTGAACTACAGTTTTTCTTCGAGACAAATGAGAAGTGAAGCTTATCTGCATTAGAAAAGACTCAGATGCCTGGCCAAATTTGGAAGAAGAGCGGCTATCGGAGCAATCAGAGCTGTTGCTAATAAGGAAAAAAAACAAGTGGGCAGCCTCACAGGGAGGAGGTGCATCAGCTCAGATGAAGTAGGATGTAAAGATGAAGTATGTTCTTTGAAACAGGGTTTAAATCTTACATCATCTGTGGTAATGAGTGAATCTTAGATGTACTGGAAGCTATAACTGTAAATGCGTGAGGAGAAGCTGCACATTTACTATGTGTTTGTGAATAAAACCTTCTTCTTACAGCTTATGTTATCGAAAAGCAGAGTTGGCATATTGCTGCACACACCAGCACCAGGATATGTGTTAAGTCTTCTGTTTCAGGCCTCAGGGACCTGTTTGACATGTTGTCTCTGGAGGAAACTCTGCCTCTTTTTCCTCCAGCTTTTGTCTGTCTCTGCCTCTGACACGTTACTAAAGGGCAGCACATAGACCCCCCTCCATTACTGGGGATTGGAATCATATGATTCAGCTTTAAGGTTGGGAATATCAGTCACACACACGTATTGTGCTGGGAAAAAAAAAAAAAGAATAGAGATCGTATCCACCCAGCTGTGAAGAGTATAGTCACACCAACTTTACCAAACACCCCCCGCTCCCTCCCAGCTCCACCCTGGTCACTGCACGCACCAATGGTGACCCCACCCGCCCAGGGTCCCATCTATAGTGAGCAGACAGAGGGGGGTTTAGCTCAAA